GAAGTGGGCCCCTTGCATTGGGCAAACTCAGTTGACCACTCGATTTTCCAACCCTTAGGATAGTAGTGTTGCCACTAAGAAAGACTACTTTACACTTTTAATGTTGATGCCCCAAGAGACCCCAAGATGGCCACGTGTATGTGTTGCTTACTCCAAGAAATTCTGTCTAGCTTCTCATCTATGTGTATGCCAATAGGCTCAGCACCTCCCTGGGAAGCGTGCATGACTGCAAGCACATGGCAGAACTCCAGCACTTGCACTGTTCGTCTTCTCCTACCAGAGTCCTAAGAGAACTTTAAACTCCACTTTATTTTATTATTTGTTTACGCAGACAAGTTATAACTTATGAATGACTCCCAAAATATAATTTGCCAGTTAGTTGCTTTAGCAGGAGTCTGGGCTCCAGATTACAATGTTCTCAATAAAGGTTTGGCACCAAGGCCATACCACAGACACCTATTTAACCTCCATTATTGCTTATTAAAGGCTTCAAACTAGCAGTTTTAGTTTTGGGGACGAGAATTCATGAAGTGATAACTTGCAAACATAAACAAATCTCTAAATGTTAAAATTTAGGCAGTATAATATGTTGTCAGAAAAATACTCTGTACAAGACTTTTATGGCAGGCTAGACTGCTTAGGGGTGTGCCATTGCTAAGATTATCTGACTGCTTATAGAGCCCTCCTAGCTATGTGTGGAGCACATGGACACAGTGGAGTACTGCTGTAAGAACAGGTCTCTGAAGACAGAAAGATCTGGGTTTAAATCCCAACTTGGATTTTACCAGCTGTTTGTCTATGGCTAAACATTTGTTTTTATGAGCTTTAGTTTACTTACTTGTAAAATAACACCATCAACACTTACTACACATGCAGTTCCAAGGATAAAACAAAATTTATACACACACACATAACAAAGTAAGTGGCTTAAAAGGCATTAAATAAATGCCAGTTTGCTTCCTCCAGATGTAAGCCTACAGATTCTCAAAAGTCTCTAAGATTTTTCACAGTAACTCCTAAACAAGGTGAGGATAGGATGATAATGCTGGGGGAAGGGTGAGTTGGGTAGTAAGACGGTAGTAAATCTACTATGAGGTCTTTTCATAAGGTGTAGGTTTTAAAAATAGGGAATACTAAATGAATTTGAAAAAATCCTTTAGTGAAATATAATCACAGAGGGAAGTGCACAAAACAAATACAGTAAAATGACTAATTATAAAGCGAATTACCCACACAACCATTACTCAAGTCACGACATGGGCCATGGCCAGCACCCAGTACCCACCATGCCCCTTCTCAGTCTCAGGGCATCCCCACCTTCTTGGTGGTTACCACTGTGTGATTTTCATGTTAATTACCTCTTTCCTTTTCCTTATAGTTTTCTCACTTTTGGAAAAAACTTAAATTCATTATGTAGTTTTATGGGAAGGTTTCTCTATTTTAAAACCTACCAAAAACAGAAGTCAAGTGAAATGTATTTATTTCCTGTACCCCTATAATTCGTGAAGATTGAAACAATCTGGCAGAATAGTGTTCGATATGCAGAAACACATAGTAAGAGGAAAAAATAATTTATCAAGTTACAGATCTTATTTTTATCTTTTTCAGGTTTATCAATATATCTTCCTGAAAACAGACATGCCACAATTTACATCTATGGCTTTATTTTATTCATTGACAGACACAATAGGGACACAAATAAAGAAACAAGCAATAAGAGAAAATAGACAAAACAGACAACACAGTTCACTCT